GGGCAAGGGACTTTGTGGGGCTGGGAGGGGGTTGCAGGACTGGGGGAGAGTTAGTGGGGCTGAAGGGGGTTGTGAGATCAGAGGGTGATTGCAGAGACAGGGGATTTGCTGGAATAGGGAGTGGTTGTGGGGGCAGTTTTCAGAGAGGGGAGAGTCACAGGGATGGGAAGGTTTGCTGAGGTATTTGACCAGCAGAGGCAGCCTGGGATGTTTGGGTTCATGTTTTCCCTCCGCACTTCCAGCTGGGGCTTTACAGTCTTCTATGAAAACGAGAAGCACGAGAAGCAGCAATGGTGAGGGAAGGCAACACAGGGACACTAAACTCATCTCTGGGACAGATGAGCACATGGTGGCTCTTCTGAGCCTTCACCATGGTGGGGGGGGTGGGGTGGGGAATCATGGTGTCATGAAATGGTTTGGATGGGAAGGCACTTCGAAGACCATCCAGTCCCATGCCCCTGCCATGGGCAGGGACACTATGCATGTGGGCACAGCCTGGCTGAGCAGCCATGGCCTCACTCAGGTTCCCACTGGGGTCCATTGCTGTCACCCCTGTCCCCTTCAGTCCCCTGGGGTCTCATGCAGAGCAGGAGCTGGGGTCCCTGGAGCAGGCAGGTGTCCCTGGAGTGGGCAGAGGGAACACCCTGCTGCCTTCACCATCTGATGCTGTGTCCCCACAGGTACCTGTGCTGTGACACCCAGGCTGATCTGCGGGAGTGGTTCGCCACCTTCCTCCATGTGCAGGTAGGGATCAGGCCAGATGATCATTTCCTGCAGAGCAGGGCTCCCCATGGGGAACAGCCCCAGAGGGACTCTTGACCAGCAGAAACCCATTGGGATATCCACGCATCCCTGAACAACAGCGTCCCAGGGTGAAAGAGAGGCCCTGGGGTGGCTAAGGACCAAGAAGCTGGTCTCCATTCCTGTCCCCTCTGTCTGCAGAATGGGGGGGCCCTGTGGCCCTCGGAGCGCCCCAGGGTGAGGGCATCGCGACCGCAGCAGGATGCCAGGTTGGGTAACATCTCCCTCATCCCACTGCGGGGCAATGAGAGCGAGATGAGGAACAGTGTGGCTGCTTTTGCTACTGACCCTCTAACTGTGAGTGATCCGGGGGCACTGGGGGGCCCCTGCGTGGGGCTGCATCCCCCCTGCATCACACGCCAGGGGGGTCCTGGTCCCTAAACCTCCCCACTTCCATCCCTGTTCCCATTCCTTATGGATCATATCACCTCTGGTCACCCCAGAAGCATCTGCAGGGGGGTGGCTGATCCTTTGGGGGCTGGAGGTAGGTCTCCTGGGTGCAAGGGGTTCCCAAAGCGTGTGATGCAAGAAGAGGAGATGCTTTCATGCTCCTGATTTTTCCTCTAACAGGGGTGTGGGTTTTCTGTCCTGGTCACAAATCGGCTCCCCATCCTGCTATCTGTCTGTCTTTCTGTGCAGCAGCTGTCCTGTCCAGGGGCTGTCACCTGTCAGGTGTCCCCCTGCCATGCAGGTGCTGATCCTGGAGCCTTGCCCAGCCACAGGGCCGGTGGTGAGACAGAGCCAATCCCACCGCTCCCGAGCCAATCCCTCGGGCCCTTGTTGCTGTTATAAACCTGGTGACACAACCATGCCGGAGGCATCCTACTGCTGGCATTGGTTGGGCATCACTTGATGGGCACCCAAGGGCAGAGAGCAGCATCCTCGCTGCACTGAGACCCCTGCCCAGGCTCAGGTTTATAACGGGGCAGTGGGGAAGCCCCCCTGGGGCTTTGCTGTGGGCTGTGCTTCGCGGTGTGCATGTGCTGGTGTGGTCCGGGACAGGAACCAGCACCCCAGGGCTCCCAGGGGAGAGTGGGTGGGTGACCCCAGCCACGGGGCCAGCATGGGAGTGGTGCTGGCACCACAGTGACCCCGGGAGGGCCATGATTTCCCTTGCTGGGGGTTTTCCCTGTGTCTCCCTGGGTGCCACAGTGCCAGTGATGCCCAGACATGGAGGAGGAGGAGGTTGAGGATGAAGGGTGACCTGTCTGCCTTCCATCCCCAGCTCCTGCGAAACGTCTGAGATGGAGAACTGACATGCCAGTGAGTGTTCCCCCTGCCTGCACCCCCTGCCCAGCTCTGGCAGCAGTGGGAGCTGATGGCTCTGGCTGCCCCATTGCCACCCCACCTTGGGGTCAAAGGTGGGAGGGGGATGGAAGTGGTAGCTCTCTCCCCTTTGCTGACCCTTTGCTCTCTACTTGTGCCACAGGTTCATCTGCAAGCAGGGCAGCCCTTGGGGTCCCATGCCAGCTCCATATCCTGGCATGTGTCGGGAGTCCTACCACCTCTGGAGCCTCCAATGGGTCCTCTCTCCTTCCCCCAGTGTGACCCATGGGCAGCCAGGAGGGGAGATGGCAGTGAGGCAACCCACCCACTGGCAGAGCTGGACTCAGGAGCCACAGCCAGGCAGCCCACGGGGCACAGGGGGTGCCAGTCCCCTGTCCCTGCACCCCAGCTGCCTTTAGCCACTCCTTCTCCCAGCTCCAGGTGGAGACGCAGAGCCTGGCTGGGGGCTGTGGCTGGAGGCTTTTACTTTTCCTCCTCCATCCCCTATTTTAAAGTCTTTCTCCTCTAAAATGACAAGGCAGGTGGGAACAACCCTTCCTGTAGGATGCAGGACTGGCCCTTCCAATGGGATGCATGCCTGGCCCCAGGCACCAGCATCACCATGCTCTCATCACTCCTGGAGAAGGTTCCCATCCATGTGGAGCAGGGTGACAAGAGCCTCTGCATCCCCCCAAATTGGAAAGGGGGTGCACCTGACCTCTGTACCCCATCCATCAGGGTGGGGTGGCAGGAGCAGCCTCTGCTTCCCACTGCTGCCTCTTGACAATATTAAAGGTCTTGGGAAATAGAGTGAGAGTGTCCAGGTCTATTAATGGGGAGGGGGTGTCCAAGTCCCTGCCAGCCATGCAGGCCAGGCGGCACAGGGAGCTGGTGACCCTGTAGAGAGATTGCCCCAGATGCACCCACTGGTGCTCTCCAGAGGCTGGGTGATGCCATGCAGAGGGCAGTGAGCTCTTGTTTTGGGGACAGAGTGGTGGCACCCTGGTCCAGTGAGCCTCTGCTGGGATTGCTGAGCCTTGCTGGTGCAGCTGGGACACTACCACTGCTGGAGTTGGAATCCATGCTGGACTGCCACCATGGGTCACCAGGGCTGGGTGGACATCTGTGCAGGTGTTTTTCGGGGCATGGGCCCTGCAGCATGAAGCATGATGGATATTTCAAAGCCAGAGGTCAGGAGCTGTCCCTGGGGTCATGGCAGTCCCAGGAATTCGTCCCCACAGCTGTAGCTGATGCCGCTGACAGCTGCCAGTGTCTGTGACCTTGGTCCTTGCCATGGAAACCCTTCGAGCTCCACCTCATGGCCATCTCAGCTGGGAGCATCCTTGGAGCTCAGCCTGGGCAGCAGGAGGTAGCCAGGCTTCTGCTTAATTCCCAGTGATGCCGGGATGTGGGGATGCAAAGATGTGGGGATGCTGGTCCCCAGGGACCCAGAGAAGCTGGTGTCTAGGGCCACAGGGATACTGGGGTGTAGCGATTTGGGATTGCAGGGAAGCTGGTCCTGGGGGATGTAGATCCCTACAGAATGCAGGGATGTGGAGATGCCGGGCCCCAGGGATCTGGGGATGTGGGAATGGATGGATGCAGGGGGCTCCCTCCTGTGCTGCCTGCACTGGCCCTGGGTGGGGGTGTCCCACCGCCCCCTCCTCGTGCTGAGCCCCCCCGGGGGCCGGTGGTGAGTCATGCGTGGGAGCTGGAGGCTGTCAATCACCCGCAGGCACTGCCGGGATGCAGGATTCTGGCAGCGTCACCTGCAGCGCTGGAAGAGGTGGTTGAGCTGCTGAGATGGAGACAAAGGGGAGGCACCTGTGTCCCCACTGCCCCCGAAACCAGCCCACCACAAACATCAACTGCACCGGTGTGTGGCTCAGGCCCCTTGTTGCTGTGCCAGAGTGAGGACATGGGGGGTGGGGAGAGGGGAAGAGCCTCCACCACCCCCAGCTCTGGGACCCTCTCCCCTTCTTCTGTGCCAGGTGATTCCATGAGGCTTCTGGTGCCCAGGGCTCTGAAGCCCAGGAGCAGGTGCCTGGCACCAAACCCCAGGGATGTGCCATGAAATACCATTACTGCTCAGCTTTGTCCAGATGCTCATCTACCCACTCATCCATCCATCTACTCATCTATCCATCAATCCATCCATCCATCTGCTCACCCATCTATCCATCAATCCATCCTCTCATCCATCCAGCCACCAATCTTGCCCCTCATCCCTCCCTCCCCCCTCTATACCTCCCTCCATCCAACCACCCATCCCTCAATCCACCCCACTCTCAGCAGCCTACCTTTTCCTCTGGCCATGCCTTTGTCCTTCTATCTTCTTCCTTCCCACTCTTTCACCACCAGGAAGGGCATCCAACCCCCTCTGCCTGCCCTCCTCCAGGAGCTGAACAAGCTCTTCCCAGCTTCCAAAAAGCCAAGCCTCCACCCAGGGCTGGGTCTGCCCACTGCCCCCTCTAACAGACCTGGGAGGCTGAGTGTGAGCACAGCAGGGGGAGGCTGAGGACCTCTCTGGATACCATGAACGTAAGATTTAGGGTTCCCTGCATCTCCAATCTGGTGCTTAGGGGAAGGGATGAACTAGGAACTGCCAGTGGCTCACCTAAAGGGAGTCAGGATCCAGCAGTGATGCTGGGGACACCTCTGGATCCCATGAGCAAGAGGTTTGGGGTTCTCCTCACCTTCATCCTGTTTTTTGGGGAAGTCATGGACAGATTTCTGCTGGTGGCCCACCTGAGGGGATCTGGGAGCAAGCAGGAGGTGCTGGGATGTAGCTGTGGTGCTGGGAATACTCTGAATCCGATAAGCATGACGTTTGGGGTTCCCCCACCTCCACCCTGGTTCTTTGGGGAAGGGATTGGCACAGAGCTGCTGACAGCCCATCTGAGGAGAGCCGGGATGCAGCAGTGATACTGGGGACCCCCTGCTCTGACATCCTCCACCACAGAGATGGCAGGAGAGCGACAGGGCACTCTGCAGCACCAGCACCACTGCTGCACTGAGCTGGTGAGTGCTCAGTGCTGCCCTGTGGAGGGATGAATACAGCCAGGAGCCTGTCTCTCCAGCACGGGATGGATGGGGCCTCTCTCCAGCTCCCGCTATACATAGCGCTGCGGAGGCGAGTGCCATGTGACACCCCACACCGGCAAGTGATTAATTGCAGAGACATTTACAAACAACTTAATAAGCCCTGGCTTTGGCGGGGGTTGGGCACGTGAGGGTGCCTTCTGGCCCATCCACAGCCACCAGCTCGGATCTGCTTGGGACCTGCCTGGGACCTACTGTCTCTTCCTGGGGTGCTGGAGCCCTTGGCACATGGCAGAGTGGGCACTGTCCCTGACCGTGTCTGTGGTCTGGCGGTGGTGGGAGCATCGGTGACCTCGTATCCCAGAGACATGGATTAAGTGAATGAGTGCCAGGCTCAAGTCATGGTCACAGTGGCACGAAGGATGGTGCTGCTATTACTGGGGTGCTGCCTGCCCTGGGTACAGTCATTCCTGGGTGCTGCCATTCCTGGGGTGCTGCTTGCCATTCCTGGGTGCTGCCATTCCTTGTTGTTGCCATTCCTGGATGTTGCCTTCCATAGCTGCTGCCTCCTGTTGAGGGTGTCATGGTTTAACCCCAGCCAGCAACCAAACACCATGCACCTTCTTGCTCCTACATTCACCCCACATTCACCCTACTCATCTTGAGTATGCTGAGGAGGTAAGGGCTGGACAGCCCAGTGTGATGCCACAATTGCCCCATGGCACCAGTACAGGTTGTCTCCATGGGTCCCCCATTGGCACCCATGGCAGCTCAGCCTCCAACTCCATTTGGCTTCTCCCCCTGTC